TAAAAATATAAACAGTCATGCAGTAACTTGAGTCATTAGGGAGCTTTCGTTATCTCGTTCAAAAAATCAATTCACCGAGAATGTTTCTATTTTTTGACCAAAATAACTCGGCCAATCATGCACTTAGTAGGATCTAGGAGGTGCATGTGGTCTTGCGCGTTCATTGTCAGAACCAACCGCCACCGCGGTTTCACCCCTGGACCCCTCCACAGGCCAGGTTGGTAACTATGTCAACTGTGATATCATTTCCCACAGCATTTTTGTTTGTCCCTACCTATGGAAATTATAGTTTTCTCTGAAATAAAAGAAACACAATTTTGTGAACAATAATTGCAACAGGAAGTTTTTTTAATATAATTCTTTATTCAAATTTTATTTGACCTGTGACCTGATTTTCCTGTTGCATTTCCTTAAGGCGAGAGGTCGGAATAAAATAAATAATTTTATTGGTGAATGTAAAATAGGATGATCAAGGTTCATATTTGCCCGCAGCAGCGACAGCAATTGCTGTAGTTCTAAGGAAGGGCCTTCCACTGCTGTGGTAAACCCCAGCAAGCTTTTAGCTGTCGGGTTGCCTAACCTAGGCTCAGGCCTAGCAACGGATTTTACCCTTAAAAACAAAAAGAAACTGTTGATTGTTACTGCAGAAGAAGAAAAAAAGCCATAGGCCACAGCAACTATTTAGCTGATGGAGCATTCTGAGGAAAAATTAAATTTTATTTTTATTCGCAATCATCGATATTTGCTGTCATCGTGTTTCGCTAAACAAGGTATAAAAAAAGTCCTACCTAATGATTGGATAATTAACAAAGATTCATTAAACTTTAATTTTAAGGTCGTGTAAAAATATAAGTTATTGTTCATCCCCTCCCTACATAAGAAAAAACACATGAAAATATGGTCTTTCCACCCATAATTCAAATTACAATGACAATCAACAGCTCTTTTTTATGACCTAATCGCAAACCAGATAAAACGGGCTTTTTTTGGGACACTGCCCTCTTCATCATAAAGAAGACAACACATATTTAACATTAATTTTTTTCTTTTTCTGGTGCCGTTATATTTTTGTTTTTTTTTTACTTTTCAAATTTCCTCATCCTCAGATTTATATCCTACCTGAAGACTCCATGATGACAATGGATTATAGGACAGATCGCGTACGAATCTTCATTGATGAGAACCAGATTGTTGTCAAACCACCTAAGGTCGGCTAGGGATCCTAACACACTGGACATACAGCTGTAGATATTAAATGATACAATATCTATAATACTGCAACCAATATGGTTGGCTTGTATCAAATTATTTGTAAAAATTCCATTTTATTCCAAAATACCAAAATATTTTTTAGAATTATAATAAAAAATGCAATATGATTTTTCAATGGCCTTTTATAGAAGACAAAACCTATATATTTATATATTTCACATCAGAAATAAATGACATTTCATGGTGACAAAATTCATGGTGCAATTGTCTAAGGTACTCGTAGTAACACAATATGTTTTACCTGTTATTTAAACTCAAATATGCCTTTAAGGTTGCAGTGCGCACCCTCATTGTTTATCATGAATGTACAGTACTGTTTAAACAAATAAGCAATTCTGCCAGCTAAATATCTTTTTGGGTGTAACATTCCAAAATTAGTAAAAGCTTTACCATGTCTCTGCCTATCGAAATAACATTATTTTGATTGAAAATCCTTAATATTGTGGTCTAAAAGCACAAATTTGGGCAATACTAAGCCATAAACCCTAACAGGGTCTTTTTATTCTGGGGCCCTGACCGAGGCTCTAGTCGGCCTCTTGGTTCAGACCCCACCCCAACTGTTGGCAAATTTCTGGATCTACCACTGCTATGCGGTAGACTCTAGTTTACTGTTGTCTTCCAATAATAATGACATGATTGTGATTTTTATGACATTATTTTCAAATTTCACCATGAAATATTTTTATAAATTAAAAACTGTGTTTAATTAAATGCTTTGTATGGAAATATTTATGTGATGTTAAATTTGATTTATTTAATTGTGCTAAGATAATGCAATATTAACAATGTGGTATTTTTGGATGAATAAACATTTTCTGCATCTGAGTATTTCACTGCCTTGTGTTCATTTGGTGTTGTATATTTTAAGGGAAAGTATTTTTAGAATTTTAGAAATCATAAATAATGAATATTTTAATAATTATCAATATTATTAAAATCATAAATATATTAATAATTATCAATATTATTAAAATCATAATATATAAAATAATTCCAGATTTATGTGGTTTATGTTATCAACCTTAAAGCATTCTACATATCATATCTGAATCAAAAAGGCAAATCGTGTGTCTGTTCAAAGTCCAACACTGGTGTAATGATTGAGTGGCAATAAAGTGTATGCTCAGCGATATGTTAATGAGAACCATCATAGTTTTGCTCCATAGTTTTTAAGCTCAAAGAGTGGATAACAACATGCCAATTAAAACTCTTAAAAGATATATTAAAAATAAAGATAAAATAAATTAAAAAAAATAAATAAAATAATGGTGTCTACTTTTTTCAGGAGCCCAAAATAATGAAGAAATTTTGAAACCACTCATACAAGCAATTTTTTTTTTGCATTCAGTGAGAATCAAGATACGAACATATACTTGAAAAAATAAAGGCATTTATTTTAATCAGCTAATTAAACAATCCACCGGACATCCCATAATGACGTTATGCATACACCATTCAGTTTGTCTTCTGCTACTTGTAATAGTACAGCTTGTCACATGTTCTTGCCAAGACAATGAAGAGAGTTGCAGAACCGTATGGCCAGATTTAGTTGGAGAGGTAACAGTGCTATTTACATAATATGAGAGGTGGGGTGGGTTTTTATCTTGTTAATTTTCTTTATGTTTTAATAGTTTTACCTTTTAAAATATTTATAACAAATTCAACATTAAATTATGTATTTTATGTTACTTTATTCCACAATTTCTTTGTATCTTTTATGTAAATTCATAATTTTATGTAGGGTAATCATTTTCAATTAATAATTGCTATTCCAGTAATACAAAATCACTTATTCTGCCATAATATTTATTGTTAGTTATTATATTTTTCTATTCATTTAATTATAAATATTGTCATCATTTTATGATATTGTCATTGCTATTAGTATTATCTCTATATATTATTCTATTAATAAATAATCAATTTTAAATGATATTACATTATAATAACAATGTGGATTGATATTGTTTTCTTTTTGTGTTTTTACTCCAGACTGGTGATAATGCAAAGGGTCAGATATTGGGTGATAATCCATCTCTAGATGTATGTATATAGGCCTATATATGTTTTATCTGTGAAAAATATATAAACTCAATGATGATACCGAGCTGGGGTGGTGCTAGATGGGTCCTTCTCCCCACCCCCACCAGAAAAAAAAAACACATGTCAAAGAGAGAAAATTTGTTGGGAGTTTTTACAAATGGTTTAGACTATAAAATTGATTAAATAAGCCTTTTCTATTACTGTAATTGCCATAGCTTCTCGTGGGTTCTCCCTCTTCTTGAACCGCCTCTGAGGGGCTCTGAGCAGTCCCTGATCACGCCGACATACACTCACTTCCCCCTCTAATCGGCCAAAGCTTGGTGCCACCCAGATTGAAACAAAAATTTTCTTATTCATTCTGGATATCATTAAAACTATATAATTGTCATATCTGTATGTCCAGTGTACTGCATGATAGACTTTTGTCATGTTCGTAGTAACTATTGAAGTACAGTACTATTGTCAACAGATATACTAACATAAACATCATAATGCTAATGATTATATAATATTTAAATATCTATAACTTTAATATGCATATATATTTTTACAATTAGTATTCTGAATTTTAACTAATAAAATATTAAACAATAAATAATATATTTTATTAATAAATTGTGAGTAATAATAAATTCATTTATAATTTTAATTAAATAATAATGTAAAGTATATTTCTAAATAATACCTAATGATATAAAAATAAAAATACTAAAAGTTTTCTAATTTATTATCAACAGGTAACGATTGTACCATACGGTCATATGGTCACTACGGATTACCGAACAGATCGTGTCCGAATTTATGTCGATAAAAACAACATCGTCACAAAGCCGCCAAAAATTGGTTAAGAGACCAACCAACATGTGCTTGTTATTCCAGCAATAATTTTGATACCTTGGGTCGATATATATAAATACATTTTTTAATAGTTTATACTTCAAGCTTTGATAAATGGTTAATTTTTAAAAATTTATTTGGTGATGGTTTTTGTCATGATTTAATGTTGAGCTTTTGCTTTCATTTAAATGTCTACCGTATATATAATATATTTTTTCGATTATATTTATGCTTCAAGTGTTAATAAACGGTGAATTCATTTCGTCGCAACACCATTTTGAATTCATGATGGTTTTCAATATATTTTCATGTTTCATCTTCATAGTTTCCCAATGCTGCCGATAAACGCAAAGGAAAGAACATTTATTTGTGCCATTAGCAACAAACCTAGTAATGTAACGGATATAACATTTAAGATAACGATGAAATTGACAATATATTGGATGGCAATTTTTTGAAAGACTGTTTTCATAGTTGCTGATTCAATATGGAAGTCATATCATTCAGATTTTTAACCACAAATACTATCAGTGCGGTTTATAATGAATCAATCTTTTGTCGTAGCCAGTTTAAATAGTTACCGACCCGTGTATAGAATCCATATTTACCCTCCTTCCCACATCCTTCGCCCCAACTCACAAGACCTATAAGATACGCTTTGTCACCATCATTGATAACAAATGGGGCACCACTGTCCCCTTTGCACGCATCCGGTCCCATGAACCGACCGCTCCCTGCGCAAAACATGTTATCTGTCACGGTGTATGATGTTGATTCTCGACATATTTTCTGTGGTACAATTGGCAGTTTCACTTCGTTAAGAAATCTGGGGTACGGGCCATTTTCAGAGACCTTTCCCCACCCGACAACTTTTCCAAGTACACCAGAATTAAATAATTCATATTCGTGGTCCTGTATTTTTGACAAACAGCTTGGGATTACATAATTTGTATACTCAACCGTTCCATCTACCTTCAAAAGTGCAATATCGCTATCAAAAGTTTCGCTATTGAAGTTCTCGTGAACTATGATCTCACGAACATTGTATGTCCTTTGCCCGACTTCCGGTAATTCCAAGTCGTGATCACCAAGTTGAATTCGTATCGTTGGTGCAGTGGCGTTCGTCGTTTGCACACAATGCGCAGCAGTTAGTACCCATTGATGATTTATAAGCACGCCTGCACAGATCATCTCTACAAATTTAGTGTGCCAAATTTGAGCTATCCACGGTGATGAGCCCTTCATGGCAATGTGACCGTTAGCAGCTTGCCAATTGGGTGAACTTTTCAGAAGGATTCCCGAATCTGTTGCTGCTGCTGGGGACCATTGTTCTTTGTTGATTGGAATTCGGCCTAGTTGATTTAAAACTTGTCTACCACATTCTAATACAAAGATAAAAAAAAAAAAAATAAATAAATAGCTATCGATCATTTATTGTTGTTGAACAGTACTAAACTACCGGGTTTTGAGTAAAACCAGTGTTAGTAACT